TGTGAGGAAGAATGTTTTAAAATGTACTTGGGATTTGTTTTAATCGGGTATGGTTAAGACACGCAGACTTGGAAATGGCTATCATAAAGGAAGAGGTTTTTATACTCACAGATCCCTAGAAACAGGAGGCACAGCCTGCAGGGCCACACGGGGAAGCAGCAGGGTGGGTCAGGAGGCAGGAGTGGGGGAAAGCACAGGCGACAGCCTTTATTGTGGTTTTCATGGGAAGGAGTGGGCAAAGCAGGGCAAGCAAGGTAGACGGGTTTAGGATTGGCCAGTTGGAATAATTTTGTCAGGCTCTCAGTCATAGGGGTTGCCTCTGGTCATCTGGCACCTGACCCTGGGATGACTGGGGCAGGGGGATAGTGGCTCACAAATAAAGGAGGTAGGCGAGCATGGACTCTGGATAGGTTGGTTTGCATATGAAAGGCACACTTGCAGGGGAGTCGTTTGCCATCTCTAGCAATTAGCAAGGCTCCAGATGCCCCAGCATCAAAATTACAGAAAATAAGAAAATATAGTTAATGCAAAGGACCAGTCCAGGATTTGGCATAAGGGGAGCAGGAAGGGGACATTTTTGGAAATGACACTTTGTCCAGCCTGGCCTTCTCATGTATTCTTCTGTCCTCCACTCCCAAAGGGTGAAGCAGTCGGAGCTGTTTGACAGGTGGAAGAGCCTCCAGATGTGCAAATGGGCACTGAACATCTCAGAAGCCAACCAGTTCAAGTATCTATGATTCACCTGTCCTCCCTTCTCCTTCTGTGGGTCTCCTCACTGCCACCTCTTCAGGTCTCCATCGTCCTGCAAGGCCCAGCTGTCAGCAGGCATCTTCCAAGGAGCTGGCCCTGACTGGGCTTAGGAATGTGGGCAGTGGGGAGGTTCTGACTCACACACGGGGGAGGTGGGCACCTTGCCAGGTGCTATCCTCCACGCCCTCTGCCTTCGTCCTTGCAGCAGCCCTGCAAGGCTGTGGTGTCAGCTCCAGTACACAGCTGAGGTTGACCAAGGCTCATAGCAGGCAGGTACTCGCTTGAGGACTCCGGCAGGCCCGTGGTAGGCACAGTAAGCATCTTCCACGGCCTTGCCATCCTCAGCCCCACTCCCGGGGCAGCTGCTCAGCCCCGTGGCTTCACTGCTCCTCAGTGCACTCAGGTCCTCACAGCCACACCAGACATTTGAGCACTGCGGTAGGCTATTTTCCAGTTGCTCTCTAATCAAAATTGACAGATTATAAACTCCTAGAGAGGCAAGAGCTGTATCTTAAAGTTCTCCTGTGGGAGCTAGGCAGATAGCAGATGTCTAAAAATTCTGTTTGGTTAATGGTGAAATTTAGGGTCCTCTTTATCTTTAAAAGTCTGTGAGTTTATGGCATTATTTTGATGCAGGTACACCTCATTTTATGGAATTAATATAATCCTGGAAATTTGTGTATAAACTAGACTTTGGCAACTCGGGTCCAAGTTTAAATGCACTGAGGAGCTATCAGCATGAAGGAATCCTCCACAGGAGGTTGTGAAAAGTGAATATTACTAAGCTTTTTGTATTTTTTTTATAAATCATTTGC